TATTTAACCCAAAAATTCAAAAGAACCTTTCAAATAACAATTTAATATTCTGCAGTCTATCAAAATAGTATTGAAGTAGAATATCCATGAGCATCTATTAATATAAAAAAAAAACTTATAAGTAATGATAAATGATTAAAAATTAAAAATCTGAACCATTTTTCATGTAAAAAATTGCACCTGTCGTTTAAGAATTGCATGTTGAATTTTTATGCTTACTTGTACACGCATAACCATAACGTATTTTCGATTAATTTTATTTGAAATTCTATAACAACGAAGGTCAAAAACTCGTTCCTGCTCCATTTTGGTAATTCAAACGATTTATCAGTACTTATTTGGGTAACTATTTGGGTATTTGGATAACATTTAAAGATTGCTTTTAAGAAATTCGCATAAATTAAATAACAATATTCTGTTGACCGCTTAATAAATAGAATGTGTTACAAGTCCATATTGCTGAAAACAAGATATGTTACGGGTCCATTTGCTAAAAACTGAAAACCCAAATATGTTATCATTTAATTTTCTGAAAATTGTAAAATGTGACAATAAAATATTAAAACAAAAAACTTATTTCAAAATTTTTTATATTCTCCTTTAAACAAAAAAAAAAAAAAAAACATTCAAATATTTTCTAATTTCTTTTGTTATAATAATAGTTATTATTGGGGTTGATTAAAAATAAATAATTATAATATTAATTTAAGTAATATTGTTTTTTTTCTCTCGTATAAATTTTTTTATGAAATTTTACTCCTTTTCTTAATTGGTTAATAATATAATAATTTTTTTTTACATAATTAAAATTTTTTATTGTTTTTTCTTGTTTTTTTTTTATTATAACCTTAAATTAGTATTGCAAATTTGCCCTTAAATTATAAAATAAATTAAAATTTATAGATATTTTCATGTTTTTTTTCCTTCTTTAATATTATGTATAATGATCTTAAAATAAAATAATTTATTAAGAATCAAATTATTGCAAATTTAATAAGTGAAAAATCTTAAATATTATTTAAATTTTTTTTTTGTTTTTTAAAATAATGGAATTATTTGTAATTTTTTTTATTTTTCTAATTTCAATATAATTCAGTATAAAAAAATTAGTTTTCATTGATATGTAAATTTTCTAAATAAGAAAATTATTTAGTATAACTTCAATAATTGAATTCAGTATGATAATTTGAAAATATTATGGTAAAATCAGCCGAATTAAAAAATTTGTAATAAAAATATATTCAGTCATTTAAAATATTTAAGTGTGAAATATTTAATATTACAAAGAAATACAAAAAAAAATACAAAAATATATTTTTATATATGCATTATGTTATTCCTTCAATTTTTTCATTTAAAAAAATCCACATTTATAATATTTTTTGCGAGTCGAGATATAATTAATTTTGAAGAATTAGATTTAATTTTATTAAGTTTTCTATGAAATATTAAAAATTATAAAGTATATAGAAATAGAAATGAATTTTAAAAAACAAATAAAAATTTTTTGTTAATTGCAAATATTTTGCAATTTATTTTGGGTAACCTATTTCTTATTATATTTTGCATTATTTCTTTATAACTTTAAGTATGATTCCGAATTATAATACTGAATTAAGAACATAATATATGTATGTATATACTAAATATAGATATGCTTGAAAAAGTATAAAGATACTCATTTAATTTTTACCATAAAATCATTATTTTATTCAATAAATCCCAATGTGAATTATGAATAAACAAATGAAACAGATTTATCAAAGTAAATTCAAATTTTATGTAATTTATATTCCTGAAATTAATCTTATAAAGACTATGTTCAATCAAATTAAAAAATTTTAATTTTGCGAATATTATTTAAGAAAAAACCTTTTAAAATATTGTACTCGAAATGAAGGAACTTGTTTTTGCCAAAATGATAATATCGTTAATATACAATATGTTTATTTTACTTTCTATGATTTCATGCTTTCTATTGTCGGAAATTTCAACTGAATAGAATACGAATTTTGATACGAATTAGATTTTCCAGAGTAATAGGATAATGTTTAAAAAAAACACGATATGTTTAAAAACTAAATTATTTCCATTTTCAAAGGCTTGATAAAATTATTCTAATGAAATATATTTGGAAATTTGAATATCCTTTTTTTAAAACTTATTTTACTAGGGCAGCCTTTATATTATGTTTTATATTTTCTTTTTTTTAATTTTTAAATTTTCTTACCATTTTACTTGGGTAATTTATTAATTCCCATATTTAGTACAACAAAAAAAATGTTTATCAATTTTAAGTCCAAATTTCTGTTTATGTACGAAACAATGAAAAAATACATTTTAACACATATACGAAGCACATAAAATCTTCTTATTATATTTTTTCAATCATTTTAAAATTATTTTCTTTTTCTAAGTTTTACCACATCGTTATTTGCTTTTTTTTTTTATTTCCTTTCATAAAAGAAAATTTTTGGACGAAATGAATTGCAAAGCTTTTCACATAATTTAATTACAAAATTTTTATGTTAATTTTTTGTTTACATTCATGATTTTTAAATAAATACATAAATTAAAAATTATTTAAATAAAATTTTTTATTAAAACTGAGTGATTGTCTGTGGTTATTAAAACAGTTTTATTTTCCTGTTGAAAATTTTATAACAAAATAAGTTAATAAAGACATTGGTTTTTCTTTTTTACACAGTTGTGATATTGCAAAAAATTTCTAAAATTTTCAAATTAGTTTTATAAATTTTTTTTATAAAAAGTGTATAATAGTAATAATTAATGATAGCACACAAACAATATTATATAAAACTTGAAAAAACAGGAACTTGTTTTTAAAATGTAGCAGTGCAATCAGATATTTTAGATTTTGGAACATAATGCACTCTATTTAATAAATTTTAAGAAATCTATGTACATTAAAATCTCGTAACTAACTTATCTGAAAAGCATCCTTTTTTTTTTTTTTGGTTTTTCAAAATTAATTATTACATCCCTTCGGGAGTTTCGTTTAAAAAAGGAAAAAATTAAATTAAATTTATTAATAATTTTCCCTATTTATTTTTAATTTTCTTTTATTTTTATTTAAATGTATATTAAAAAGTATAAATTTGTATCTTTACAGAATTCTTATACTAATAGTTATAATAAAGATAGTGAAGATTGAAATTTCACATTTTACATTCAACATTATTTTAACTTATTTTGAATGAATATTCATATTTAAAAACGTGTAACAACGTAAATGTTTTATATGAAATTCCTTTTTCACTTTACTACGTATGATGATAATTAATATTTTTTCTATTAAATTTTCACTTGCTTTGCAAATAATTTAATATTACTTTTATTTTATTTAAATTTTTTTTTTTAATACATTTGGATCATGAGTTTTATAAATTTTGGCATTAGATTTGTTTTACACCTTACTCTTTCTAGATCTTTATTTTTATGTATCTTTAGTATCATCATTTTTCTTTTTTTAATACATAATTTTTATAATTTTACATAGACTAGGAAATTTCAGGTAATTTCATCAAGTTTTGAAAATATTTCAAAAAGTATATTATTTTATACAAGAATTTTTAATATTGAAAAGTTCGTAAAATTATTTTTAAATATTTTTCAATTATATTTATGATTATAATGTATAAGTAATAAGATTATAGGTATTTCTTTTACTAAAAATTTACAATATAAAAAAATAGGTTTTGTAACTAAGATTTTTAAATACTTTTTATTTAATTAAACAAATATTAATTTCATTTTATTTAACATTTATTAACGTTTATGTGAAAACATAATAAATAAATTATTCCTTTTTTTTTATTTTTCTTTTCTTTGTTTATTTGTAGGTATTATATTTGGCTTGTTGGGAAAGCATTCAATTTGAGCATTTAGGGATGAAAAAGAACAGAGCAAATATTACAGAAGATTTTGGAATTTCATAAGGTTAACAAAAATAAAAATAAATATAATCAAACATATAGAACAAAATAATCAAACATAAGCTTTCTCAAAGTCTTTAATTGCTATGAGTGCAACTTAAATTTTATCCGTATTTTCTTATATTTTAAATTTTTTCTTCTTGTAATCTTTTGGAGCATATCCTTCCTAATTTTAGCTATTTACTTTTGAGACATACATATATGCATATATATGAAGTATATATATATTTTTTAAAAAATTTATGTTTTCAGTATACCAAAAAACAAAAAAAAAAAATACACATTCAATAACGTTAAAATTGGTTCGAAAATATTGGAATAAGATTGTAAGATATCAAATTTCGCACAGGTTTTTAAAAAAGAATTATGTTTAAATATGCTTAAATCATATGCTTTTCCCAACTTTGAGTTTTTTAATATTTTCATTTCATTTTTAAATAAGTCTATCAAAAATTGAAGGCAATAATTATTCAAAATTAAAACTATTATAAAATATTACTAGATTACTGATTATAAATATTAATAAAACTATTTTTCTTTTTAATAATTTCAATTTCTCTTTTTTTTTTTATTTTAATATTTAAATTAATAAAGATAACATTTTTTATTTTATGTTTATACAATATACAACATAAGTCAATTTTCTTGAATTTTTGTACAATTTTCCAAAAATAATAATTTTAACCTAAAAATGTCTAGAATTACGATATATTTTTTTATATATATTTCTATTATATTAAATTTCGGAAGAATAATTTTAAATAATGTTTTTTTTTTATACAAATCGTAAATATATTATGCATATTTAACAATTTTTAATCACTACTTTAAGTGAAATAATTGAATGAAGACATTTTTTTGTTGCAATATTTTTTATTACAAATTCTTACACATAGTTGATTTTTAATTGATGCTTTTTATAAAGTATACATTTAAAAATATTGCTTAACAAAATTGAGCAAAATATTTTAAATAAATATTTATATGGTCCATAATGTTGTACATTCATGCATATATGTTTAATGTATGTATATTTATTTAAATGTAAATTGTACATTTAAATATTATTAATTTATAAAGTTTGGTGTAAATTAGACCGAATTCATTTAGGTTAATGGATGATTTTCCAAAAAAAACAAAAATATTCAAAATCCGTTATTTTTTACTTATAATTCATTGCGCATCAATAATATATTTTTTTTATTTTTTCTTTTTTTTTGAAAATTACAACAAAAAAATATCTGCATTTTTTTTCAATAAAATTATTTTACTCCTTTTTGCAGTTTTGCTTAGGTTTGTCAAAAATTGGCAATTTCGATTTTACAGCACCTTCGCATATATTTAATCTTTGCATTGTTTTTGTTGGAGGCTTTTGTTGTTGTTGTTCCAATTCAAAACAAAATTGCTCGTAATCACTTTGAGGAGTTATTTTACTTGAATTATGATAATCATTACCGCTACTAAATCCACGCCGATTACTACAATTCGTTTCAATATTAAAATTAGAAAATTCAGAGCAGTTACCTAGTGCAGCTAATGCATGGGCACTTATTGATGAAGATGATGAACCACCACTTATACCGGAGCCTGAAGTTACTGATGTCGAAGTATTATGTGTCTTAAACGGTAATGTATCATTAACAAAACGTCCAGCAGAACGCATGGATTTTCTTTCAAAATATTCCACGATTTTTGCAATTTGGGCTGATTTTGCATTCGGTACAAAAGATCTTGAATCCCATAATAAAGAATCAGAACCTGCTAAACTACTTATATCATCAGAACTGTCGGTATACAAGGATGAAGTTCGATTTTTGCAATATAATAATTGGTGAGCTAATTGACTTTTCTGTATTAACGAATTAATTTCAGAATCCAATGCTAAGCGATTTATTAGTCCCATATCAACAGATGTTGAATCTAACGTATGATGATGATGTGAATGATGGTGATTAATATTGTTCGAATTATTATGATGAATACAGTGATGTTGACCATCTTTTGTTTCACCTATATCAAGATCATCAAAGCTTTGCAGTAGATTTATATTTTCATTTTGAATATCATTTTCATTTTTTAAATCTTCCAAATTTCTATGAATTGCTGTATCATCTTTGCCAAGATTTGACACTTTACAGCACCATTTGCAACATTTTTGAAACTTTTCAATAGAGCTTCCAAAATTAGATGGAATCTTATTGGTTCCAAATGAATTACATAAGCAAGCTCTGGACGATTTATAATTTGTTAATGTATCAGACTCTTCATTAAAGCAAGAAAATACTCCACTCTCCATAGAATCGCGTCGATTTAGTTTTTCATTTTTAAGATCGACACTATCTGTACTACTATCACTGCAGTTAAACTGTTTGAACTTAACCCCATTAGAATTATCGGTATGATTTTCTATTAAAAAAGAAGGTTTGTTCTCCGTTACATCATTTTTAAAGAGTGGATGAATATACAAACTTTTTAATTTTGTTTTCTTGGTGGATTTACTTTCAATGTTGTCACACTTGCTATCAATTAATGTATTATTTGTAATTTGAAAATCAGATTCAAAATTAATAACTGGGTTAACTTTTATTGAATTTGTATTAGCATTGAATTTAGATTCAGAAGCTTGATGTAATTTTCTTGCCATATTCGGCGAAGTTGGGAGACTTTTTGGTTCCACTATCTGTTTCGCTGGCTTCGTACCAACATTTGCATGTTCCTTAAAGAATGGAGCTGACATTTCGAAACATGAACTAAATAAATCACCAGCGCAAGCTGTATAACTTCGTGGATCTCCAAGAATTTTTTTCACACCTTAAATGTTAAGAAAATTGAAGAATAAGAAAGTTTCTTAAATGCTATATGTAAATTATTAAAATTTTACCTTTTAATTGTGCCAAAGCTGTAAAAGGATTTAGTTTAACTCCATTTTGATCCAATTTAATAGGTTTATATTGAGGATCTTTCAAACACATCGTTTCGGCAACTTTTCGTAACGTAATATTTTTTAATATAGGTAGTTCTTGGGAGTTACTATTACTTGATGTGTTAGATGATTTTGGTCTTAATATCTGATGACATCTAGCTTTATCACTGGGTGTCGTATGTAACGGAAAATTGATAACATTTTCACTTAACGAGCGTCTATGCTGCAATTCTGCCTCCAAAGTTTTTGTGACATTTTTTACTCTAAGTTTTTCTCTTCCAATGTCATAATCATTGTCTGAGTCGTCTTTATCAACATTTTTCATGGATAATTTAAATAAACCTGTTGTTGATGATACATCCATAGAATATCGTTTTGGAGGTATGATTGTATTAGTTGATAAATATGGTTCTGAATCACTTTCATTAGGACTACTTTCATTATATTTTAAATAATTTTCTGTATTTTCGCAAAGTTTATCTGTTAGTGCTGTTAACTTTTTCACAATTTCACTAAATGTAGGTCGATTTTTTGAATCATACTAAATAAGCAAAAAAAAAAGAACAATACATATATATTTAAAATATTTTTTAGAGCTTTAAAATTATTTGACTTACAATACAACAATAAAAAGCCAGTCTTAAAAATGCAGGTGGTGTGTCTTCTGGACATAATTCTACGAAAGCTAAATAATCTAAACCAAATGAATGGGTTCTAGGCATAATATCTGGGTCAGCCTCGATACATGCTATAATTTCACATAAAACAATGCCATAAGAAAATACGTCACTGGTTTGATCGTACCATAATCCTCGTAAACATTCTGGGCTCATCCAATATGGTGATCCAACTGTATCAAGACGTGCCTTTCCACTAAAAAAAAATTAAATAAAATTTAAAAATAATTTCATTATAATGTAATTCAAATTATTTTACCTTTTATTCGGAATTTTGGCGGCCAAACCGAAATCTCCAACAACAGCATCCATCAAACCATCAGGCAATTTTCTTATTAAAACGTTCTAAACAAAAATAAATGTAATACAAATCATGTATATTATTAAAATATTTTTATTTCTTACTTTGCTTGTTAAATCCCTATGAAATAAACCAGCTTCATGCACATATTGCATACCTCTGGCTATACCAATAGACAGTCTTATTTTTAGGACAGGAGTTAATGTTTCACTTTTATTTGCTAATAATTGCTCTAGCGAACCTCCTTCAATATATTCAGTCAATGCATGAAGTTGCCCTTCTTGTACACAAACACCCATAAATCTACAACAAAAAAAAAAACACGTTCCAAATTATATTATTTTTAAATATGTAGCAATTTTTTGTAGAACAATTAATATCAAACCTTAATATATTTGGATGGGACAATTTATTTAAAAGTTGAACTTCACGCAACATATTTGGTCGATTTGAACGCAGTTGATTCATTTTTAGTACCATAACTTGACCAGTTGTTCTATGCGTCACCTTTGAATAAATATATTAATAAATATTTTTAAAAAATAATAACTTAATGGTTTTATTTGAAAAAGTACATAAATTATTTAAGGATTAGTTAAATTGGCATTACTTACGACAAATTATTACAAGTAAAATTTGATAAATGAAAATAATTAATAATATTTGATACCAAAATGAAAAGCAGACCAAAATAATGCAATGATTGGCAATAATGCCTGCCTAATTTAAATTTAACAGGATTTCCTGTAAATATTTTCCCAAAAACTTGGATTTATTATAGCGAAATCCCCACAATTAAACCGAAATAAGCAAAATTAATTTTTATTAGAAAAAATACGCTAAATCTCTAATTAATATTCAATAAAGAACATTAAAATTAACTTTAAATTATTAACTCCAAAATTTTAATTGAATTTTAATTAAAATTTTCATTTTTAATATTGCAAAATTATTTTGAATTTTTTTAGCTACACAAAGTATTAGCGAAATTTACTATCCGGTGTAGAAAATATATCCAATAAAAGATAGATACAATGAAAGATTACATGAATTGTACACAAATATTTTATAAGTACAATATTAAAGTACTTTGCTTGTACTTATGCAAAATATATTTTTAGTTTGTTTAAGTACAAATTAGAAAGTTTTCAAATTATACAATCATTACGTACTCCAATTGATTACCAATCCATCAAAAAGTTCATTGCAAAGATTACTATTTTATTTTAATTTTTGCCGGTTTGCTTACTATATTTCTAACTACACTATATTTTCTCATAAAAATTAAAAGTTCATTGTTTTGTTTATAAGAGAGTAAGTATTACAGACTCATTGAAAAAACAGTAACAATTAAAATATGATTTCTTTTTTTATTTAAATACAAAATATTAAGATGGGTAATATTTTTTCTCATCATTCAACACCATCGTGAAAAAAGAGTTGAGAAACTTTTGATACTGAATAAGTAGTTTTTGAATTGTCAAATTTTTCAAATGAATGTCAATCGATGGTAACATTGATTTTTATCAAACAATTTTTTTTTTAAATTTTGTTTAGAATAATATTTTTTATATTATGTAGTTATGTATGTTGTATATGCCTATGTTTTTTTATGATAATACATAGTTTAGATTTAATCACAAATATGTAGTATCTACCTACTAAAATAAAACAAAATTTTGCACTAAAACTTAAAATAAAAAATAGTATGAGCATTATTTTGATAAACTTAAAGATACATAACATATTAGTAAACCGAATAAGTTTTGAAAAATTAACGCTTGGTGGAACTATAAAAATTTTAATCACGCACGTAAAATTTTTAATTTCAGCTATAAAATTACGATATAAAACATTAAATTGAATTTCTTTTTTCACATAAATAAAAATTTCAAAAAAACAATGTATTTATTAAATGCAATACAAAAATAAATCGCAATGATTTAAACTAAATTAATGCAAAAATTCGTAACTGTGTTAAAAAGAAAAAGATTTGAATTTAAAATTATTAATTTTATTAGATATAAATGAAATATTTCTTAGTTTTGTTTTTAATAATCATTAAAAATTTTATGTACAAATTTTATGTACAAAGCTTTTTTTTTAAATATCGTAGGTATACTTAATTAAATAATTTTCTTTTCAATAAAGATTTGCAAGTAGTTAGTGATAGTCAAATTTATTTCAATCATAAATGAATTCTTACTAACTTAAATTTGCAATGCCATTAAAATAATGCTCTAATATAATAAGTAATATATATGTACAGCTAGTCACAAAAGTATTGACTCACCTCTAATTATTTTAAAAAAGTGTAGTTTTTGACTCCTGTATATTAAGAAAAAATTTAAATAAGCCAAATTAAAACAATTTGTATATTATTCTTCAAATTTTTTTAGAATTTAAAAAAAAAAAACAACAAAAACAAAAATAACAACAAAAACAAAATTCATACTCCAAATTTTTACGCACAAAAGTATTGACTCAGTCAAAATGAAATCAAATAAAAAAGTTAATTTATCTTATATTAATATTTGGTTGGGTATCCTTTTGATTTAATAACACTCCGAAGTCTATTGGGCATTGAATGGACCAGATTGGATGTCACGGAAGTGCTAATTTTGGACCATTCTTCTTTTAAGTGGGGTTTCAGCTCTTCTTTACTTCTAATGTCATGTTTCAGCAAAGAACACTTTAAGTGGGCCCATAAATGCTCTATGGGGTTCATGTCTGGTGATTGTGGAGGTGTTTCAAGCTTTTTTGGAACATTATATAGGATCCATTCCTTCACTACGAAAGCACAATGTTTAGGGTCATTGTCTTGTTGAAACATATAATCATTAGAAAGCCCTAATTTTTCTGCACTGCTTCTTAAATTTTGTTTTAAAATGTTAAGGTAAACGAATTTATCCATTGTAGAATCTATAAAATGCAGGTTACCAACGCCATTCGCCGACATGCAACCCCATACCATTATTGATCCACCACCGTGTTTTACTGTCGGTAACAAATTTTGTTTGTCAAATTCTTGACCAGGTTTTCGCCAGACACGTTTCTTGGATGATCCAAAAATTTCAAACTTACATTCGTCGCTGAATATAACTTTGTCCCAAAAATCAAGATTTTTTGTTAAATGAGCTTTAGCAAAGGTTAAACGTTTAGTTTCTTTTTTAACTTCATTGATCCAAGGTTTTTTTCTTGGTGCACGACCATTTCTACCAGTATTTCTAATACTCCTACGCACAGTTTCAACACTAACGTTAGTTTTTGTCGCTTTCCGGATCTCTTTACAAATGGTTACACCACTAGCCATTGGATTTTCTTTGACCCATCTCATTATTTGTCTTTCATCATTAGGGGTCAAAACTTTAGGCCTACCAGTACGGAGCTTATTTTCTAAAAGATTTTGGGTTGTGTATTTTTTTATTATATGTTTAATGGTGCTTTGTGGTATATTTAACTGTTGCCCAATTTTTCTTTGAGAATACCCCTTCTCATGAAGAAAAATAACGGTTTTTCTTTCTTCCAATGTTCTTTCTCGAACTTTACCCATTTTTTAAATATTAATTGCCGCAAAACGCTAAACTTCAATATTGGAATATGAGAGGGCAGCTAAGAATTATTATAGCACTCATTACAAATGAATAAACCGCTAACAAATGGGAATTCCCCAATTTTTCAAGAATATTTTTATAATGAGTCAATACTTTTGTGCGTAAAAATTTGGAGTATGAATTTTGTTTTTGTTGTTATTTTTGTTTTTGTTGTTTTTTTTTTTTTAATTCTAAAAAAATTTGAAGAATAATATACAAATTGTTTTAATTTGGCTTATTTAAATTTTTTCTTAATATACAGGAGTCAAAAACTACACTTTTTTAAAATAATTAGAGGTGAGTCAATACTTTTGTGACTAGCTGTATGTGTAACAAATAAAGCTTAAAGAAAAACCCTTGCCGATCAATATACGCCATAAAATAATCGTTGTATAAGCTTATGAAAAAAATGATTGAGAAGAATCTAAGATATCGTAAAATATTAATATGAAATTACAATACAGGATGATTCCAAAATATTTACTAAATTTTCTTTACATTTTACTACATAAACTATACGTCTTTAAGATCCACATATTAGGTTTCCAAAATAATTAACAAAGCATACATACATATTTACGTTAATTTAACAAATTCCCAACTTTAATCAAATATGTGATCATGAATACAAAACTTAAAATTGCTCATCATTAAAATCATTGAAAAACGAGGGTTAATTTATTATTTTCTCTTTATTAGGAATTTATCATCTCTTCCCTTTCCTTTTCTTTTCCTCTTTTTTTTTCTGATTTAACCGAAATTAATTGTGTAGATACCTATGCAAGTATACATAAGTACGCATTTATGGCAAATATAATTGATGATTATGAAAGGAAAAACATCACCAAAAATTAATATGAACCTGTAACCGGAATGCTTTAAAAGGCAAAGAAAATAAAACAAACTGCAAAAACAAAAAATTAAATAACGACAAAATAGAAGTTTAATAATCGCGCGTGAATGTGCCGTTTTACCTCAATTTTTCTTCTTCTTTTTTTTTTACTATTATTTACAAGTTTTCTAAACAAATTTTAAACTTGAATGAATATCAACAGTATTGGAACAAATTAAAAAAACAACAGCACAACATCAGCATTACTAAAAAAAAAAACCAACACACAAGCATGACAGCGAAAATCATAAAAAAAAAATCTCGCATTCCAATTAACATGCTGTGAGCATTTTCAAGTGTATAAAAGTTTAGTTTATGAATGTGTTTATGTATTTTTTATTATGATAAATTATATTATTGTATGTATGTAGGTACATATGTAACTATAATCTGTTTGTATATTTACATTTGAATGTTTTCAAACATAAAATTGTTTTTGTCACTTTTGATTTTATTTTGCAAAAAAAAGAAGAAAAACACAAAACTACAAATTTCACTCATAAAACTGCAACGGCATTGAGAGGTTAATCAACTTTTTCTTGCTTTTTATTTATTTATTACAATTTGTATTTTTTCGTTTTTTTTTTGTAAATAGTATTTGTACGCGGGTTTTTGTTATGCGATTTTTGATGGTTTTTTTTTTAATTTTTCTGTCTTCTTGTTCAAAAAAAATATTTTCTTTGTAGGCTAATCGCCAAAAAGCCATGATGAGGACAACAATTTACTTAATTTTCATTTCATTTAGTATAAAGAATGAAAATTGGAAATGCCCATTTAAATATTTCAATACCCTATTATGTTCGTTTTATTCGTCAACACTCTCTCACTATCTCTTTAAATATTACGTATGTATGTATATATTATGTAGGTAAGAAATTACAGAAACAAAAGTTAAAATAAAGAGAAAAGAAAGAAGGTAAAAAAAATTTTACTTATTTGGTTATTGTTAGGTGCTGTGCCGAGTGTGAATTGCCATGAAAAAAAAATCAAAGGAAAAAAGACCAATTGATTTTAAATTTAAT